TCCCTGTGTAGTGCCATCCATTTCATTGTTTGCTTGCTTGACAAGGCCTCCTCTTCTCCCCTACTCAGGCACACTGGCCAAACAAGTTTAAATGGCAGCATGCTTTCTTGAGAGTGAGTCACAGCATGTCTGAATGGTTCACTGCCAGCACAGCACCGCTCCTATACATCACTTGGGAGCTGCTGTGATGTGTGAGACATGATTATGTCCACAGTGTTTGTTGCTGCTTAAAGTGCTTTAGATGATGTGTTATTTATCTACTTTATATTCACTTGTATTTTGTGGCATTCATGTGGACACCAAAGTAAGAATTTCATTGTACAAGGAAACACGTTTCCTAACTGTGCATATGACAAACACTTTGAACTAATATAATAGTCAAATCACTCTCCTCTACTCTATTTTACTGGTGTCATAAATCAAATAATTTGCCCTGTAGATTTCTCGAAACCATGGGGGTGAATGTTAGTGAAGCATGGGTTTGCTGAAGGCTGTGCCCCTTTTACATTGCTTTCTGTACATTGCTGTTTATTGGTTGAGGACAGTGTTGCAAAGGTGTGCTACAGGCTTCCAGATACTGTTATGCTCTAGAAATAAGAGGGGATACAATTGTACTTTCTCTTGACTCTCCTTCTTTCTGCTGTCTGTCTGACTACTACACTGTGCGTGCTCTTGATGTGCGTGCTCTTGATGCAGGATGGACAGCCCACAGCCATTAAGGGATTACCTTTGTTGGGCTTCAGCAAAGGGAGCTGCTGGGAGGAGCCAGTAGAGGAAGGCAGGTGATACACTGAGGGAGATCACAGCCAGCACTGCATTTGCTTTAAGGGGCCTGTTTTCATTTTTGGAGAATGAGAAGACCTTGGAAAAAAAATGTAAAATGTTATACATGCACGTGGGCAATGAGTGAGGAGGTTTTTAGATGATGATGTAGAGGAGAAGCTGTCACAAATGCAGCGATGCACCGCGCGTGAAAGGTCCTTGATGCAGGAAACGGATCTGGGAGAACAGCAAAGGTCAACTTATTACCGGTATATCTTCTGTTTAAAGCTGACACGCCACCACAATGAAAATAAGTGCTGACAGCTAACATGCATACTGAGATGAAGTAAGCTGTCAATCTGTATTTTGATCCAAAAAGCAAAACAGGAAGACAGTGTTGCAGAAAGATAACAGCCTAGCGCACAATTTTCACTCCAACGGAAATTTGTATGAACTATAGACATAACTGTCCATTATGTTTGTGATTAATAAATTAATCAGCTGGTCTTATAGAATGTGAAACAGTCTCACACAGTTTCCTAAAGCCAAAGGACATGTTTCCAGATAGCTTACTTTATTTGACCGACTATTCAAAACACAGTGTACTAAAAACATGAAACCACATATTCACAGCTACTCGTATTGCTTGCTTTCACTTATTGCCCTTGTTTCCAATTCAGGTTGCTCAAGTGAATTGAGCTCAGTTAGGGCTCACTTGTACCAGTTTCTTTATTTTGAATCCCACGACAATTGGACTGCATTATAATGAATCTGCGGAGGATAGACACGGCAACATAGTGACACATGTGACCAAAGAATGTGTTTGCTTGTGAAAAATTAGCTCCCAGCCTCAGTGGGGGAAAATACCAATAATTACAGGTATGACGATGAGAAATGAAGCTCTATATAAAGATTTCTATTGCACCTCATTTAAATGAAGCATTTTGGCTGTTTCTGTTTAGAGGTCTTTAGAGCCTGGATGCATGATTTTAAAGATGTGACCCACAGATCTGCCTTTGACTTCACTACGCTGTGGGCTTGGATGGGACCACTAGTTGTCATGTGTTTGCACATGTTGATGGTGTCCAACTGACACACCATCAGGGTGACAGCTGTGATGAGAGATGCAGACTGCAGCATTATTAACCATATCTTGTTCTGCTGTCTCTACTGTAACAAAGTTAGATCTCTGTTTTAAAAAGTTCATCTGCACCTGAAGACACTGTCAAAGTGACTGAGCACCCGCATGCAACCAGGCCACATCATACACAAACACACACACACTGTCAGATAAGCCCAGTGAAGCCTTTGCAGGCGCTCTTCATCTCTGGCCATGTACGGCTCTGTAAAGGGCCCAAATTTGGACAAGGATTCCAGCCAGATAGTCGTGTGCCCTGAACGTGAGGCCACTGTGTGTTCATGTGTATCTGTTTCCCTTGTCAATGCTTTTGTTGTCATAGCAACCACAGGAGAGAGAGCGAGACAGTCCAGGCTTAGTGTTCAGTGATAGGGTGGCGGTTAGGGGGCAAAGCTTTGTTTTAAGATAGCTAAGTGGTAATTGTGGATTTAGTAGAATGTTAGTGGATGTGTTATAGTCCTATTTTAACTATTGAGCATTTTGTCAAGGGTGCTAGATAGTCGCAGATGCACCAGAGAAGAGAGTTTTTTTTTTTTTCTTTCCTACCACTTGAGGATTCTGTTTCGGACCCGTGCCTGCAGGTGACCTTTTGTCTTTGATGTGAGGTAGTCTATCCTCCTAGCCTCAGGGCCTGTGTCACTCCTGAATGAGAAGTGGACTGAAGGCTCTTCACTGCTGCTTCTTCCTGGTCTTGTTATTTTGTATCTTGAGCAGTAATATGACCTCCTCCTGTCAGGCACGTGACAAAGTAAAGCTGCTGTTGCCCTGTCAGAATATAAATTATAAATATGTTTTATATTTGTTCATGCAACATCCTACAAATAATTTACATGATTATGCTCAACTGGACACAAGGCTTCTCTGAGAAGTTTGTGGCTTTTTGGATGAATGCTTGTTACTCGAACTTATTTGATAATCATGTTTGTCTGCAGAACAGCAATGGCTTAGTGGTTGGCAGTACTGTGTACAGGTAGGCTTGGAGTCGTGACAAAAACTTCAGTGGTTCAGGTTCTTGGCACAATATTGTCAAAAGCAGACTGGAGAGAGATTGGCAGTGCAGCAGCTGTTCCTGGCAAGAATTGAATAAATGGAGAGTTGCAGTGTCATGGTTGAATCTTAAGCACCTACTGTATGCTATATATGTTTACATTTTGTGGGTATCACTTTAATTTTCATTGTGGTATCAGTCATATATGGTTTAGTATTCTGCACTGGAGGTTTGACTCACAGCGATGCCGCATTACGCTGCCATGATGTCATCAGTAACCGACTCTAACAATGGGGGACATCGAAGGTATGCTGTTCTTGATTCTCAGTTTGTGGATGTTTGTCACAGCAAAGAAAAATATAGTTTTGGAAGCAAGACAAAAGACTGCTGAAGCAAACAGGAGAGTTTGGCAAATAGTACTTTTGGAGTTCAGACAACAAGACGACTAGTTGCTAAAAGGTGTTGCAAAAGGGTAAGTTGTGTTTTCTCTGACCAATCGCTATCCTGCAGTGTTTACATACCACCATTTGGTGTCGCCTCTACTCGCTTAGAACCTTGACGGAGGTGATACCAAAAATAGTACCAGGTACTTTTTCCAACATTTGACTAATGAAAGCACAAAAAAGTAGAGCCGAGCCGGTACCAAGTATTGGAAAAGGGGCTAAATAGTGCACACTCTTCTAATAGGAAAACGGCACACACAGCTTCCCGGTGCGTGCTCGGCATACACCAGCTATTCTGAATCCCTAGTAGTTTTGTAACAAAGCCACCTTAATCTGTTCTGTCTGAAATAGCATCAAGGGAGCCTGTATCCATGGTCTTGTGCTGTAAGCCGTTGGCAGCAGCAGCACCAGCCCAAAAATAGTCCTTTCCCTGACCAAGAGACTGACTTTAGATGTGTAGCCTGTCCCCATCACCAGCGAATGGCATAGATGCTAATGGATAAGACTGATTAAGTGAAGAGGACAAAAAGTGCTGGCAAATACAGCTGTAAAGCTTTACTTCACTTGACCACAGATGTGGATTTAATTGAGCAATTCATTAACTGCTCAGTGTAAGAGGAGAATACATGGTGTGTATGTTGGTGGTAATGTCAGTGGTTTCATTTGTCACACTTAAGAAAATATTTGGCTAATGTGCAGCGTTGACTGAATAGTAGACTGTGGATGTGTTTTTAGTTAAATTCTCCAATGTTATGCATAAAGTAGCAGCATATAGACGCTACCTTTATCCTTCCAGTAGCAGTACTATGCTGTATGGCAATTGAAGCACCTCGGCTATGTCCATGCTTTTTTTGAGTGTAACGGCTGCCAAATTCCCAGGCAAGCTGTAACTATAGCACAGGCCATCCCACTGACGTAAGCTTTCATGGATATGTGCATGGACATGCATGCACCAACAGATGAATACACAGACACACAGGGCAGGTCATATACCTTTCTTTTGATAGTGGCCGTACTCCCCTTCTCTCTCTCCCTCTTTTTCAGGCATGCATAGATGATAATGTTGACATGGTGACTTTCCTGGTGGAGCATGGAGCCAGCATCAACCAGCCTGACAATGAGGGCTGGATCCCCCTCCACGCTGCAGCCTCCTGCGGATACTTGGATATAGCAGAGTAAGTGCCGAGAGGCCTGTTTTCAAAACGGTTTATTCAGTTTCTAATAAGCAGCAACGTTTATTTCATCAGGTTTGATTTCTGCAAACTCATCCTTACATCCTGTTTTTTGTTTCATGGAGTTGATTCTAAGAAACATTTCTGTAACTACAGCCCTCTTAATTCTTTAGTGTCCCATGCTTGTGTGAAAATATCTTAATAGGTCTGTAAGGTTGCATGAAGGCCCAGCTGTTGCTATACAGTTCAATTAAATGAAGCACAAAGTGACAGTTGGGCACTGGGCCAGCTGAGATCTGCACTGTCCCTCCACTTCTCTGAGTACCCCATTAGTGACCTCTGTCTTTATATTGCTGATAGTAAGATTGATGCCCACTATGTAGGGCTAAATGCATTGCCTTTCCTCTAGCTCAATAAAACGGATTCTGGTATCTCTGAAAGTTTAAAATTGAACATAAAAGCATGTATCAGAGCACAGCTCATTCTCTTCCTGTGGTTGATTGTATTTATAATTTTTTAGCTTTTTATTATCTTGAAATGAACAGTGTTTCTAATATTATTTTTAACAACTGCGAAATGGCATGTTTCCTCTATGAAATGTCCATGGTTCTATTTCAGCTGTCATTGCAAAATCAACATGCCATCGTTTTCGGTAGTGCATAGAATCTCATCACATTTAGCAGTAGCAGAAACCCACCTGATGGCTCAGACACACATTGTTACGCTGATGTAACCAAATATGGAGAGATCAAGGTCAACTACTGTATCTGGAATCAAGCTCTAGAGTTGCACCCTAGTGTGTATTTATTTATCTGGGTCCTTAGTTCTTTTCAGGTAAGAAGACTGCTCAAAGGGCATAGAACACAACACAGATGGTATCAGAGGGTATTTAAATGGGCTGAAGGAACTTGGTTGTACTCATTGTGCAGCATACTGGGAGTGTGCTGTGACCTGCTTTGTCTTTCTTGCCTAGCTACAGGGTTATACCCACTACTGATGAAGAAAGTCACTTTTGGCTTTTCTCGTTTAGGGGTCGCCACAGCGAATCGTCACACTGATGACTCGCATGTTGACATTTGGCACGTGTTTTATGCTGGATGCCCTTCCTGACGCAACCCTGACTCGAACCCGGTCTGCAGCGGCCACAGCGCTGCGTCTTAACCACTAGCCTACCAGGGACAGCTGCTGTTATACCCACTACTGATGTTTTTTCCAAAAAGTAACAGGACAACTGGCCAAAGAAAGATGTTTATGTTCAATTCACTTTTATTTGTATAGCGCCATATCACAACAAAAGCCATCTCAGGGCACTTTACAAAATAAGGTCTAGATGTTGTTGTTGTTGTTGTTGTTGTTGTTGAGGAAAAACCAAACAAATGCCACTTGGCAGCAGTGGGGAGGAAAAACTCCCTTTAACGGAAGAAATCTCTGACAGACCCTGGCTCTTCCAGCTAATTGTCAGGCATATTTCTGTTCGGTATTCAAGTTGAAATTTGATTGGCACTATTGAACTACAATATGAGCAAATTCTTCAATTACACATCCACACTATTTTCCAAAGTGATTTTAACTTCTCAGACTGCGGCAGCTTGTTTAGTAGTTTCAAAACGGCATCAGTGCCTGGCTAGCATTGCAGAAAACAATCTCGCATAATGAATGAAAAGGTCAAGTGGCTGGCTTGATATGGGTGAGTAATGGAGACACCATGTCATAGAGAGAAACTCTGAAGCCTGGTGTGGGTGGTGAGCTCTCAGCACTGCCATTTTATTCACAGTATCTTCATTCCTTGTAATGGCCACTACAAAGGAGGACTGTATCTCTAAGCCCCTGGTGTCATCACAGCTAATGGTAGGGTGGGAGTCGGCCCACAAAGTCAGAACCTAGCAGAGCTGGCCCAAAGTAGGAAGAATAGAAGATGCAAGATTTGAAATGTAACTGCAGTCAGTGAGCTGGGGAGAAGCCATGAGCACTGCTGAGTGGTGTGTTGGTCTAACGAGTCTCACCGCAGCTGAAGATGAGATGTTAAATGGTTAAAAGTCGTGAATTACTGCTGGTTGAGACAAAGATGTAAAGGGTTAAATCACTCAGTAGTCATGGAAACAGTGTTACATGCGTGTTTTGCCTGTCTGATATTCTTTATAGAAGATTTTATGGTGTAACTAGATTTTTCATGCTTTCAGATGTCTGTCCAGAGTTGTGATTCATTCAGCTTAGTCTTCTACAAAATAAAGCTCTCATCTAAGGCAATGCTTTGCTTAAATCATTATTCTGTCAAATTCTATCCTTAAAGGAATAAGTCACAATCTGTATTACATGAAGGCCAATACAAACGTCACTGTCATCTTCAGTGTTCTTGTTTTATTTACTGAATACCCACAGGGTTTTAACAGGCTTAGCCATTAGGGGAAGATTTTTGTCAGATTCTGTTCTTCACAGTATAAAAATGCTGATGAGTCAACTGGGCCAGTATATTGGTCATTATTAGCTTAAGTTATTACAGATGTATTGGTTTGGGCAATAGGTAAAAGAAGTTGCAGAAGATGTTGAAATCTTGAAGAGCTGAGTGGCGTGGCATGTTCACTGTGTTTAGGAAGACCCTCTGCACACATTGTGTTTTGCGTCATTAGCCTCTTGCTGATTTGAACCTGTACCACGGTTCTTCATCCTCATAGTGGATGCCGAAACCTCAGTATAAGCATTTCATGCATTATAAGTAACCTATAAGATGGTAGCAGTTTTGAAATGGGATATATGCTTAGATACTTTAATAATTATAATTAATGTATCTGAATTTCTATGATTTGACATAGGTTTTGGGAAGATATGACAAACAGGAGAAGCAGACTGTGGCACAGTGTTACCCAGTATTGACAGTGAACCAAAAGCAGCATTACACAGCTCCCATCCTTCAAGTAACACTTGTTTTTACCTCCTTTCCTTTTTCATCCTGTCGGAGGTTATTAAGACTTTAAAGTGCAAAACTCACCTGAAGATTTGAGAATCAGTTTCGCTCTGGAAAAGAATTTCAAAAACATCCCACCACCACTAGACTAACCTCTCTTGTGCATGTTTTTTGTTGCAGGTATCTCATTAGTCAGGGTGCTAATGTAGGAGTTGTGAACAGTGAGGGTGAGACACCTCTGGACATTGCTGAAGAGGAGGCAATGGAGGAACTCCTGCAGAATGAGATCAACCGACAAGGTACAGTACTGCAAACGTTTTGAACTCTAGCCCTGGGCACACATTGTACTACTAGGTCCTCAGGATCTTTACCTCACCACTGAGAAATGTCTTTATAACACTGTACTGCATTGTCTGAAGGGAATGTAGCAATTGATAATATAACCAACGTTGTTTCGGCCAGCAGATTATGTAATGTGAAGGACAGTGGTGGAAGTACTTGGATTGTTTGTTTACTAAGGAAAAATAGTAATTCTACAGTGTAAAAGCATTGTTACAAGTGATAGTCCTGCATTCAAAATGTTACTCAAATAAAGCTATTGCCATCAAAATATACTTGCAGTACCAAAGGTGAACGTACTCAGAATGGCACAGTTCATCTTAATGCATGTTATATTATTGGATTATAGTTACTCATGCATTATTGTGAACACATTTAAAGTTGCAGCTAGTGAAGGCAGAGCTAATTGTAACTACCTTGTATGCTTGTATTTTAAGTACTTTACATACTGCTGGAAATTTTCCACCAGGGATCAAGAGAGTCTGATTATACTGTATTTTGTTTGCTTAATCTCATTCTGAAAAGTAACTAGTAACTAAAATGATCAAATAAATGTGAGTATGATTTTACTATATTTCAGAACAAATATACTTATTTGAAGTAGCATAAAATGAACAGTTAAGGTATAGATACCTCAAATATTCCTAAGTACAGTATTTGAGTAAATGTACTTTTCACCTCAGAGCGAGAAGAAGAGGAGATGGACAGATACTGGGATTTTTGGTTGATACCAATATTTGAAGCTTTAATTACATGGTTATGTTTCAGGTAATCCTTCTTAATCATATATTTGGAAACAACCTTTATGTGATAAGCATGTTAAAGGCAGAACAGCTGGTAGGGGCCTTTTGTGTATCTCATGCATGTTTGAGTAAGTTACCAAATATGATCTGAATCCTCAGAGTGCCAGTCACCTGTTGTTTTTCACTATGTTGCTTGAGGAAAACTTACATAATGCATTAAAGTGATCCAGCTGTTTTGGGGGCTCTTCTGATGATTCAAAACTGAAAAGTAGGCTCTTACTATTTTTGGCCAGGGCATTCTTGAGATGATGAAAGTCATAAGTTTCATATAGAAACTTGTATGACCTTGTTCACAGGGTGGACGGATTCAACGCTCTGTAATATGTAATCTCTTAAAACACTGGCCTACGTTGATTTTTGTGTCTTGCAGTAATGAAAATGGTTTAGTATCATGAGCAGCATTAGGAAAAAGGCATTGTGCCTCTCTGACAATCCCAGTTAAGTAAAGATCCAAGTGTTTGAAAGCACTTGTCGTCATCCAGTGATAATTACACCCAGGCTGCTGTTTGCATGTTACGCTCCTTGGCTGTATTATGTAGCACTAGCAAGATGTGCACCCAACCAAACTTGTCAGCTCTGAATTGCTGATTCCTGATGGATAAACACCTGCCTAAATAAATATGTTTTCAAAAGTGAGCTAAAGGCTGTCAGATCTGAGGCGGAGGGAATCTCAAGCAAGTCTGGATCTGGGAACCTACTAGATGATCCAAGAGATCTACATGGCTCAGAAATATATAATGGAGCCAAATCATGCAAAGCTTTAAAAACAAATAACAAAATCTTAAAAATAAAACCTAAAACGAAGAGGAAGCCGATGAAGAGAGGCCACGATTGGGGATACGTGTTCACGTTTCTGTGTGTTGGTCAACAAGCGAGCAGCAATGTTAGCGTTCAAGTGTGACGATCTGCTTTGAGACAACAATGTTTATGATACTGGTTTACAAAGCTTGCTATAACCTCATAGCATATTGCTAACCACCGCTCACCATTTCCCTAGTAGTGGTGAATGAATGTCACTTGCGGCTTTTTCCCGTTAGGGTTTGCCACAGTGAATCGTCAGTGTGACATTTGCCATGTGTTTTACGTCGGATGCCCTTCCTGACCCAACCCTGGGCTGCAGTGGTGGGAGTGCTGCGCCCTAACCACTAGTCTATCAGGGAACCAAGTGGTATCTGTTTTAAAAGAAACAGGCCAACCCAAATCTTAACAATTTATACCTGTGATTCATTATTAAACAATCATTAATTAATTGTTCCTCATAACATTCCCCAAACCTCAGAGGTCAGAGGAGGATGCCACTCAAAGATTGCACAATGTCCCGGTCAGCTTTGAGCTGGAGCACACCACATCTCTGCTGAAATGGGGAGGATGGTGCCAGGCTGCCTTTCTGGGTATTAACTCTGAATATCTAGATTTCTTTTCAGCTCTAGCACAGAAGGTTAATCGATGAAATAACCATCAAATTGCATGCATCACATTTCTTTATAGAAGTAGAAAACTGGGCGTCCGTAGATTTCTAACACTGAATATTTGGCCAGTTACGATTGCAATTTATTTTTATTAGGGGTGCACCGATCGTTCGGCCACCGAAAATTTTCGGCCGAAAAGGCCAATTTTATTTCGGGCCGGAATTAAAAAAAAAACACGCTGAAAAGGCACGCCGAAAATGCCCCGCCCCGTCCATCCTCGCGCAGCACAGGTTACGTTTCACTCACGCTGGAGCTGTTATATCACGCGTCTCCCCATCAATGACAAAGCATGTCAGGGGTATGGAAGCATTTTGAAGTTTCAGGTGAGGACACCAAAGTTGCAATATGCAACATTTGTTCTGCGAAAATATCAAGAGGAGGTACGGCGCCAAAGAACTTTTTGACATGTTTGATACACCACCTGAAAACACAACATCCAACTGAATATAAGGAGTACCACAAAACAACATTGGTTAAAAGTGCCCCAACTACATCACAAATACCCTCGGTCGCCACATTCTTTGAAAAGACTAAGAAATTTGCAGATGATGATCCCAAAGCATGTGGCATTACTGAGAAAGTAATGGAATTCATTGCCTTAGACGACCAGCCGTTTTCTGTCGTTCTGTTTCGTTTCGGTTTTTGGCCAAGTGCATCCAAAATTTTCGGTTTCGGCCCAGAATTTTCATTTCGGTGCATCACTAATTTTTATATATTTTTGCTTTGTATGAAATCTCCAGTGAGCACACTATCAGGGGGCACCAGGCGCACAGAGCGTGCTGGAGAAACTGCAGTGCTGCCAGACATTCTGCCTTCTACTGTTACCTCACTTCACCTCCAGCACTTCTCATCAGAGTTAATGTTTGTTTTCTTTTAAGATATCAACAGTTTGATGTCATCCACTATATACTTGTCTGTAGCCTTATATGCTTAAATACAAAGCGGCGACTTTTGGCGTCCCTGTGTCTTCTGGCTGGTCCATACTCTGGTGTGTAGCAGAATGTTTAAGGTTTCCACTTCCATGTCTACTTGCTTGGCTGAATTTAATGGTTGTCCTGTGTGTTGTATCAACAGCCTTCTGCAGCCATCAGCCTCTCAAGCTTTTTTTTTTATAATGCTGCCTACATTTCATTAGGAGTGCTTTGCATGGACTGTTTATGGTTAATTGTGGGATTGTGCTTCTGTATGTCTGTAATTAGATTTTTCTCCTCTCATTGAGATATCAGTCACCAGGTTAAACTGGACTGACCATGGCTTGCTCTTTGGCAGGGACAACCTTTAGATCCTCTCTTTGACCTTGATTGGGTTTAGTGACTTGCCAGCCCTACTGCCCTTATTTCCTTCTTCATCAGCTACCACATGAAAGCTGTTACCCGTCCTAACAGACTGAAGGTGGACAACTTCACAAATGTTTCAAACCCCCTTTGGTCCCTGTCAGTTTGGGTGCTGCTGAAGGGACAGTTTTCCATTCAGATCAAAAAATAACAGTTAATTTTATAGCCCCCCCCCCCCCTTTTTCTTTTTTTTTTTTTTATGATTGACCGACTCACTGGGTAAAGTATCCATCATTGTGAAAGCATCCACCAGCTAAATATAGACATTTGGTTTCTTGTGCCTGTTATGGCTCTGCATATTTTCCACAGAAGAGCCTGGTTCCTGTTTCAGGTTAGATTTTTGTAGATATTTCATTTTCCCTTTGACAGAGACACTGCAGATATATTGTTAGGTAAGGGGAAGGGGAAGGTAAGTCCTTTTTTTTAGTCTGTTGGATGCAACTATCTTTTTAATGCTTGGTAGAAGATGTACTGTTCTCTTGTAAAGTCGAACCTTTACAAGAGAACTCTCCCTGTCTAGCTGCAACTGAACTGCCCTAATGAAGTCTAGGTGTACAGCGCTTTCTGATATTTGTCAGCTTGGGGTGGATTTACCTATTAATGACAGCTCATGCTTGAATAATGTCATTTCTGTCTAGTTGCACTACATGCATGTTCTTTTAATGTCTACAAACAAAGCTGAGAAAGAAAATGGCTGAAAATACTCAGGTGGTATAGGTATTGATGGAATAGGTGACAGCAAACAAGGCTGTATCACATGTTAAAACACCTTTTCAATTGTAATGTCATAAGTCTTTATTTATCCGAAGTTTTGCTGAGAGTTTTATCTTTGCAACTTTGAAAAAGTGACATTTTGATGGGCATACCATGTGAGACGATGACCCAGTGTTTGTCCCAGAGTAACTGTGAAGTCTTTGAAATGAAACCTGAACTCCTGTCAATTGTAAACTCAGACACTGATTTATCCTCTTCCCATTTGGTTTCACTGTCATGGATGTCATGCCACTAATCCTCTTAACATGTCCAGTCTTAAACATGCCAGAATATTACTGTGTTTTTTAAAACAGGTCTCCTTGATAAACCTCTGGGTAACATTTGCTTTGTCCTTAGGCCAAACCTGCAGACACAGATGTCCCCTTTCATTGGTTTAAAAGCTCAAGGCATCCTTAAAGCTTTCTATGGTTGTCTGTGTTGTATCCTTAAGAGTAGAAGAAAAAAAACTGTAAGATCAGCTGATGTTGTGGCTCCTACCCCAGAGCAGTTCTTGGGTCCACTGTTTTATGTAGTTAACTCTAGCAATGCATTTCAGACCATCTTGTGTTTTAACTAGATGTCAATAAGACAGTACAGGCCTATTTTCACTACACGCAGCCTGTATCTTGGACACATTGACCCACTTACCCAGCTGAGGCCTGTATATTTGCAGCCACTATGTCATTGTCAGATTGACAGAATATTGGCACAAAAGCGTTCTCCAAAGCAGACTAGGTGCCTCACAACTCCATCTAGTGTTTAGAGAGGTTGCCAGAATAATGTTATGTCTGTTTCTCCCTTGTAGAACCAAAAGATAGCACAGAGGTGCATGAGTTGTATCTTGTGTAACAGGGGCTTGTCATAACTGTAATTATTGCTGCATTATCATAGCAGCATTCAGCTATGCAACGATTTATCTCATAACTCTAAACATTAACAGATCTTGAAGTAGATTTAAGACAAGTAGAACTCAGTCTTAATGTGCCTGTGCCTCAGTGTTCTGCAGCTTGTTTCTAAGTAGCAGATAATCCTTGGATGCCACTCTGACAGTATCAGTCTCCTCTTTCTCATCAGGGGTGGATATTGAGGCGGCCCGGAAAGAGGAGGAGCGGATCATGCTGAGGGACGCCCGGCAGTGGCTCAACAGCGGCCATGTCCAAGACATCCGGCACACCAAGTCTGGAGGAACGGCACTCCATGTGGCTGCTGCAAAGGGATACGTTGAGGTTTTAAAGTAAGCAGCGGTCTATGTCATAGGTAGTCTGAGTGTTGTTCAGCATTAGTCACTTTTTCCTCTTGGGGGCAAAAAGAAATGACAAACACATTTCTAGTTTGTTTTAAAAAGCCTATTCTGTAGGTTACATTATAGAAGTACAGTTCACAGTGAGGACAGTGTTTAGGTCTAGCATCAAGATGCTCTTTGTTTATGGCAGGCATATCTTAGTCTATGCTGTTGCCTTGTTCCGACATTGTCTTCTGTGGCCTGTTAAAACAGCTACACTGCTCAAGGATAGAAACTGCAGCCATTTGTCCATCTGGTCTGGGAAGCCAGCCAGAACACTCTGCTGCCATAGATAGCTCCAAGATCTCTGATGTTTAGTGCAACCACCAACCACAAGACACGGATCTGAATGTTTTTCCTGTGATGGCAGATTTACTGGGTGAAATATTACGGTTTTAAATTTGCCAACATCATCCTTCAGGAATGACTAAGATGTTCAGATGTTGTCTCCTTGATTCATTTACACAATCAAATTCAAGAAAGCCAGATTTGCTGATTATAAAACATTTTGGTTTCTCACATTCCTCTCTCCTTCACTGTGCAGGCTTTTAATCCAAGCAGGGTATGATGTAAATATTAAGGACTATGATGGCTGGACTCCTCTACATGCAGCAGCGCACTGGGGCAAAGAGGAGGCATGTAGGATATTGGTGGAGAGTCTATGTGACATGGACCTCGTTAATAAAATGGTGAGTGACTGGAGCTGTCAGGTAGTGTTGCTTTCATCAACGAAAATTATGACTAAATAGCATCGTCAGCGAACCTTTATCGCATGACAAACAAGACGCACTGAAAATGCTGGTCATATGACGATGACTATAATTAAATGTATTATGCGAGACTAAATGTGGTTTACAAAATAAAAACTATGCTAAAATGTCTCTTCATTTTCATTGACCAAAATGAGACCAAACCGAATGTTATAACGTTATTTCATCTCGTTTAGTCGCGTTATTATTATTTTGCAGTATTTCTGTTTCCTGTGTCTCGCTTCAGGGGCTGCTTCATGTCGCACTGCGCAGACGCAGGCGACGTCACTTCCGTAAGCCCCACTCGCGGCATTATTTAGAAGATGACAACAAACAAAGTTAAGTCTGACACAGAGAAAGGGACCAATGGCCAGCTGGCCGTGCATCGGCTTTAGGAGAATAAGAAGAAACGACATTTGGAAAAACTTTAATTATATAGAAGCGGAAAAGAAAACAATGTGTTGTGGGAAAAGATGGGGAGAAATGCGGCCACAAAATCACACAAAATGTGTATTGGATATATTCTTGAGTCTATATGGTAACAATGTAATAAGATGACCTTGTTTGAAATGGGTTTGGCTAAAACAACTTGTGGTTTTGTCTGTACTACTAGGTACTTATATTATATTGACTGGGTTAAATAGAATTGCATCACTTAGGGCTGGGCGATTCTTTCGATTTTTTTTCTATTAATTCGAATTTACGTTTTAAGGCGTTTTTTTTTTTTCTTAAATCGAGGTATCGTGATTTTCTGTGGTTTGGAAATGGTTCGGCTTTGAGAGGTCAGACGTCGAACAAACTTTTGTCAAATGCAAAATATGCCGAAAGTCCGTTGCAGCACCACTAATTTATTCCAACATTTGCGACAAAGACACCAAGTAGAATGGCAAGAATGCTCAAAGTTAAGAGACGAAAACAAGCCAAGTGCAACGGGGCAACCTAAAATAGCAAAACGTCAGATGTCATTAGCGGCATCATTTTCCAATGCCACTCCATACGACAAAAAGGCGCCCCGATGGCAAGAAATTACAGATGCTGTGGCATTTTATATTGCTAAGGACATGGTTCCCATATACACCATCGAAAAGCCAGGGCTATAAAAATGCTACGCACTGTTGATCCAAGATACACGTTGCCAAGCCACAAATATTTCAAAGACTATTCCTCGGATGTACACTGAAACACGTGAAAAAGTAGCAGAACAGCTTGATAAGGCATCTTTTTTTTCTACAACGACTGACCTGTGGAGTAGTCGTACTCTTCAACCTTACATGAGCCTCACAGCCCATTATGTTGATGCAGAATGGAAACTGCAAAGTGTTTCTCTTCAGGCATGTTATTTTTCTGACAATCATACTGGGGAAGTAATTGGTCAAGGGCTTAAAGATGTGCTGGCTTCTTGGAAGCTTGTGGAGGATTGACAAGCGTGCGTGACCACTGACAGTGGAACGAACATGATCAAAGCAATGAAGGTTAATGACTGGACCCATCTTCAGTGCTTTGGACATAGTCTTCACAATGCCATTGGTAAGTATAATTAATAATTCAAGCAATAAAATCACTGTTATTTAGATATATTCATTTTTATTTCATTAATACCTGAATTTATAATTATTATTGTTTTAAAAACTATTTTCATTATTTATTTATGTAATAATATTGGCAATCACTTAAATGTTGTGTGTATGTGTGTTATCTAATATGTAGGACAATGTTCTTTTGTCAAAAATGATGACATTAATAATGCTGGCTAACAACAAAACAAGTTATCCCAAATTTGTCTAACCAACTTTTAAAAAAATTAATTGATTTAATAAATACTGTTTTTATTTAAAAAGGTATAATTTCTTTCAATCATTGTTCCCATAAAAAATAGTTTTACAGAGTTTGTTTATAGATTCATAAGCTAAAGTTAGGAAGGAAAAAGCTCTTCACAATATTCTGACTTTTAAAAAAATTAATTGATTTAATAAATACTGTTTTTATAAAAAAGGTATAATTTCTTTCAATCATTGTTCCCATAAAAAATAGTTTTACAGAGTTTGTTGTTTATAGATTCATAAGCTAAAGTTAGGAAGGAAAAAGCTCTTCACAATATTCTGTCACAGAAGAATGAACTGCTATTTCAAATCTATTTCCTTGCTTTTTTTTAACAGAACATGGGGTGAAAGAGAACAGAGTTGACCATGCAGTTGCAGTGTGCAAGAAGGTTGTAAGTGCATTTTCCTTCAGCTGGAAAAAGAGAAGAGATCTTGCAACTGCACAGGCTGAGCTCGGGGCTTCCTTCTCATCAGCTCATTACAGAGACCCCCACCAGGTGGGGTTCAAGACAAAAGATGATCGAGCAGGTTTTAGAACAGGAGAAAGCCATAAGCTCGGGTCCTTGGCTCTGATAAAAAAAAAACTCAGCAGCTTGTTCCAACATGGCAAGACATCGATGTCATGGAATCCATAAATAAAGCTGTAACTCCTTTGCAAGAGTTCACTGATGCATTGTCAGGTGAAGCATATGTGAGTGTCTCATACCTCAAACCAGTACTCCATCTCTTTAACAGTAGCATTCTACAAGCACAAGACGATGACACAGATTTAACAAAACACATCAAAAGCACAATTCTGCAGTACCTCAACAGCAAATACAGCGACCCTGTCACAAATGAACTCCTCAACATAGCTTCTCTGATGGATCCCAGGTT